AAAAGAAATAAATATATGCCTCCAAATAAGCAGTTTGGGGAAGATAAGCTACTCACAACGTATCTACCTTGAATATTTAGTTTTTCTGGGTGGTCTCATACACAAGAATCGGGCTTATCAAGCAATTTATGCCACCCAAGTTTGGTCTCTTGGTATAGCCTCAATGGGTTTTCCCCAGACCACCCAGATGGTGTCACCTCTTCCTTTCCTGGCAGTATTTACAGCCTGTGCTCTTCCAGTGAACATCTCATTTGTCATATCCTCATCTGTAGGGCTGATCTTCCATTGCCCAGTTGGAATTTCTTTGAGCTGACATCCCAAGCTTCTCCTTCATCGGGACTATAGTATATACAGTATAAAAGTGGTGAAAAGAATCTCTTTGCCCTTTGGTCTTATGGTGTCAAATGTGCCTGCTTTTTCTTCTGCCCATCCTTTCCTGTTGATTGATCCCTTTTGTCCTAGTATAAGAGAAAAGGAGGACTAGAGGGAGAGATGCGTGCAGCTGGGCTTCTGTCACAGTCCACTGCCCAGTCAGAGGGATGCCCAGGTCCTTCCACTGAACATGGGATCTGAGCATATAATTAAGCTGTTACTTGCAGGGTGGGCTGGATGGAATGAAGCTGAGACAGCCTATTGGGAGAAAACTCTATGCCAGAGCCTAGATGACCACCTAGTTGGCCATCCACTTGGATTGATGCAGTCATAGTACAGATGCAGACAGTGAGGCTAGAGACTGAGGTAGGAAACCAACAAGAGTCTATCTCAAGAGCAGGTTACGCAAGGGTGCCCTGGGCTCTCCTGTGCAGGTGACAGGGCAGGAAGTTGTTTGGACTCTGGAAGGTGCAGATGAGTAAGTACAAGCATTATCATCACTCAGATCATTGCTCCAGCTCCGCACTGTCAAAGTGTAGTGATGAGTCCTCCAGATGTGATAGTGATGGCAGGGCAGAGCCTCCCGTATTCCTCTAGAACTATGATGGGCGCCCTGGTCTGAAAAGGTCCATTCATGTCCCCTCCAGTCTCTGAGCTTAGCTTGATGCATGGAAGGATTTTCCAAGGTCCAAATTTGCTTTAAAAAAAAATCAAGCTAAGATTTGTTTATCTAGTCCCCTAACCAAGCCTTTTCACTTCATTTGGATTCAAATAGGACTTAGCCCTCTCCAGACTCATGTTGGAGCTTGGTAGACTGTGTAGCAGTGTTGAGAGGGCTGGGATCTTTAAGGAGGACTTAGGGACTGGGAAGGTTGCTCAGTGGTAGAGTGCTTGCTTAGCATGTATAAAGTGCTAAGTTCAATTTCCACTACTCAGAATAAAGCAAAAAGGAGATAGGTCATGGAGTTATCACCTTCACCAATATATAATTCCAATATGTCCTTAAAGAGACCTGGTTAAATCGCTTCTCGGCCTTTTGGCTAAGATCAAGTGAAGAGACCTGGTTAATTCTTTTGAGACTGAATTAGTTTTTATGAAAGTAGGTTGCAATCCTGGCACCACACTCTGGTTTCTCTTGCGCATGTGCTGCTTCTGCCTGTACTGGCTACCCTTTCCACCTTATGCCAGGAGCTGAAGTATTGCAAAACCCTCATTATAAGCCAATCAGAAGCTAACACCACATTCTTGGACTTCCAAAATGAAGACCCCCACATAAAGCTATTTCCCTTATAAATTACTCAGACTTAGGTGTTTTATTACGGTAACATCAGACAGGCTAAGACATTTCCTTATATGTAACCAACCCTTAGGGTCTAGCCTCAGGTTATTTTTAACAAAGCCACTCTATGTCTGTTCATCTCCTTTTTTTTTTTTTTTTTTTTTTTTTTTTTTTTTTTTTCTTTTTTTTTTTTTTTTTTTTTTTTTTTTGAGTAGCATCACGTTTGCTAGAGATTTGCTGCTCTGTCTTTTCGGTTCTCATCACCATTTTTGCTGTATGAAAATTTAAACGTAGGCCCATGTACTTCAGCTTTGGGAAGGTGATCTGGAGCTATATGAATCTTGAAAGAGAGCAAGGAGGGGTCTATGGGAGGGCTTGGAGGAAGGAAATGGAAGGGAGAATGATGTAACTATAATCTGTTAAACTTAGCAAAACCATAGAAAGTGGTCAGTCCAAAGGGGTGGGGATCTAAACTCCCTCTGCTGGCCAGTGACTCTCCAATGTGCCGCCTACAGGACAGATAGCTCATAGCTCACAAACTATCCCTTCCTTTTAAATGTGTGTCCTAATTGCCTCTTCAGTGGCCATGACTGCATAAATGCGTACTTCTGCCTCCTCCCATTATCACACTCACAGGCAGACTTGCTGGGACCACTGTTCACACGGTCTGTTTCTGCAGCGTTTCCTCTCTCTCCGCCGTCCTCCTCTCCTTTTATTCTTCGGCCCATTTTTGCCATGTCGCAATTCATGTATCTCCTACATGCCAAATGTTAGACAACATTAACGTTTTTGTCTTGTTCTGTCTTTCACATTGTCCAGTAATCAGAAAGTATGAGCGTTTATAGTTGTCTCCCCCGCCCCCACATAGTTTGAGGTACGGTCTCCGGAATAACAGCTTCTACTAGGGAGGCTTATGTGTGGTTGTTTATAGGATATTTTAAAGTAGGACCAGAGAGATGGCCCAGCTGGTAAAGGTGCTTGCCACCAAGCCTGACAACCTGAGTTTGACCCCCAGGACCCTCACACACAGTAGAAGGAGAGAACCAACTCTCACGAGCTGTCCTCTGGTCTTTACACACGTGCTGTGATGTGTGTGAAAGCTCATGGGTTTTTTTTTTAAATAAAAATAAAAGAATATTTCAAAGCAGCAAGGCGCGAGAAAGACATCCTAGAGGAGGCATTGTTGGGACTTGGCTGGGAAGAATTAGGCCATAGGGTGTTGGCGGTTTCATGAATAAGCAGTAACCCTAATCCTGGGGTAAAGGAGGTTAAATGGCAAGCTTTCAGCAGTAACTTCATTAGATAAACACACATCTGTTCTCAGTCTACTTTATACCACACCAGAGAAGGAAGGAAAAGGAGAGAGTAAATAGAGCGCTGGAAAAAGCTGACAAAGAGAAAAGAATATTGGGAGACCCTGAGCCACAAACACACCCGCTCCATGCAGGGCATGTCCGGGAGGGAAGGAGGCCCTGAGAGCAGCTTGGTTTTTCACAGTAAAGTTGATGTGTCTGTCCTTACACATACGGTGCAGGGAAACATCAAGGAGGAAACACACATGGGCGTGCACACACATGATCCTGCTAGTCAAAGGTCACCACTGTAGCCATACCTCTTTCCAGTCTTTCTGCTTTTCTGCGTCACAGCCTAGCTGAGCTCATACTGTAGCTGCAAGCTGATAACCATTTCCTTCTCCCATCTGCCCGCTGTACAGTTGCCTGCACTTTGATGAGTTCCGTGTGTGCATTCTGATGCCTGCCTGATGCTCGCCCTGCCTCGTGGCTGCTCTCCAGCACTGGGCCTTCACAGTAGTTCAGAGCATGCTGTGGATCAAACAGCCCTGGGCTTGACTCCCAGTCCCCTCTACCCCATTTAATTGCTTGGTGACCTTGGGAAATGACTTTCTCTCAATTATTTCAACAGCGGCATGGGCATATTGATATCACTTCCTGCTAGAATTGCTACATGAGTTACCCAAGTCAAAGATTACTAACTCTTCTTGCAAAACCACCTCCTCCCAAGAGGAAGAGAATATTAATGGCCATTTACTGATGGGAAAGAAGAGCTATGTGAGGTTGCTTGTCATTGTCCTTGGCTAATAATAGACATTTGTACTGCAGATTTCAAAACCTTTCTCTTACCCCACTTACCCTGCCATAGCTGTTACTCAGGGTAATTTGTTGGAATTGGCAGGTAATGAAGAAATGGGCTGAAAAGCTATTGAATCCAGAGTCTGCATGCTATGATGTCCCCATCCCCACCCCCAAGTTCCTTGTGTGTCCAGTATTCTCTGGATTTTCTTTCAAACAGATTCTTTCTATATCCCATTGCTGTGTCAGAGAAAGGTAAGTCAGAGGGGAAGCTGAGCATCTGCTTTTTGTGATCCCTGTGGTAATGTCATACCAGTACACTTTCGGAAAACCAGCAGATACTCTGTGCAGTTTTCTTAGAACCACAAATGTGTGGTACCTGAGAGGGTGAGGACTGTCAACACTGATGTGATGCACAACCTTCTCCAGTCCTTCCTCAGTGCTGTCCTACTGGTTGCTTCTCCCTTTGCCCTTAACATCACTGCACAAGATGGTGCTGGCTGTGTTCTCCAACCCCTGAAATGTTTGATAAATCCATCTTTGCCCATCTCCCTCCTACAGTCAATCTTGGGTGGCAAGGAAAAGTCCACAAACACCAGTTCAGGGATGAATGCTGTTGATTGCACGGCTACTTCCATCACCTACAGAGTAACAGTGGGTAACAGAAATAGTGGGCTAATTCAAAAAGCCCCATATCCATTCCAGTTTATCACACGGCAGGGCATAACTGCTATGTGGGGGATCTCATAAAGAACTGTCTAGCTTCAGCATAGAAAGAGGCAGAAAGTGGAGAACTTGCCAGGCTTTAGTGTACTCTTGGTTTGCATTTAGTTGGCGGGCCCACACATTCTACCAGGTCTGATCTTGAGTCTTCATGGTGACTCTTACTGACCTACTCCGTTATTCAGCTGATTAAATCTTAATTGCAAATGTGGTTTCAGTGCAGGGACACCATTGTGCTTGCTGGTTTCAGGTCATTTTTGCTGAGCTGAGGTTTTCCAGATGGCTGATGGAAATTAAGAAAGGGGGAAATGGCATTTCATTTGTTGTTCTGAGTTGTGTTTTGCCGACTGAATTTACTTTAGTGTTTATTTAGAGGTGCCAAACAAAAGCTGGTGTCCCCAGAGAGACTTGCTCAAGTTTTTGGAGAGGTTCTCTAAATTGTCCACACTGCACATAAAAAACCACTGTCTGTGGTCCGTCTGGGATACTACAGCTTGCCAACAATCTCATGTATAATTTTGATTGATTTTTTTCAGAGACCCAAGAAGCCACCACCTCCGTCCGCTCCTGTCATCAAACAAGGAGCAGGTAATGTACCTTTCAGGTCCCTCATGCAAAATGTTCATCTTTCTTTTGCATAAATTCAAATTTTCTTTGTTACGAGTTCAAGATTCTTAGACCCACAGACTGCTAGCCTGGGGGATGTGATTTGGTCTCAGCAGGCAGGTTTCAAATGAGTTGCTGTTTTTCCTAGACGCAAACAAACAAAAGAATCCGCATTACTAAACGTGTCTCTCTGCTCCCGTGCAGAAATGGGGGGTTCCCAAGAATGGCCAGAAATTACTTTAAAATGAACTGTGTCTGTTTTCAACTATCTGTTTTTGAGGAGCAGAGAGCTGGTTATTGTCCTTAATGAGGGTCAGCACAGGGAAGATTGCTTCCCGTGGAATCGCGTCATTGTAGACGTACAGTTGCTGGCTTTTTACTGTCTGTCCTATGTGGTTAGCCAAAATTTGCACTTACTTCACTTCCCCCAACAAGAAGCTGTTTTTCTAGCCATAGATATTTTCCCTCTCAATTCTTTTCTAGTCTTGAAAAAAATATTCCAGTTTACTCATTCTACATAGCTTAGATATTAATGTTGAATCATATAGGAAGAAGTGATGTCATTAAACATTCAATAACTCACTGCACAGTGGCTTCTCATACATAAAGATGATTCATGCTTCCCAGTGGAACTCTTCCTTATAACAGTCACAATTAATTGTGGGGAGAAATTCCTTTGTGGATGACTCTTTAAGTAGTTTTAAAACAAACTGAAGACAGAAAGGGACAAGGGGAGATATAAATACAATCAAAATACATGGCATGCATGTCTGAAAGTGTCACAAGGAAGCCCATTATATTAGGCAAAGAACACAAGCTCATATATGTGTGTATGTACATATTAATTTTAGCAAGAAACAACTAAAACAAAATTAAGTTTTTTTTTAATTTTTTAAAAAGCCTACAATTATGATATATCTTATAGCATATAATATATGAATAGATGTAAATTGCTAGATTTTATTTTTTCATACATTTATTAAGAAGTGTTTTGTTTTGTAAAGAAAGGGCCTCTCACCCTAGCCCTGGGTGACCTGAAACTCACATGAAGTTCTTTCAGGCTGACTTCCAACTAAAAAGTGATTTTTCTAAAAACGTATTTGTTGAGGGTACCACCAATTTGGAGGGAAAAATCTATTTAAGGTTAAACTTCTTTCCAATTTATTTTTATCTAATTGAGAATTACAGATATTGACCCCTAGAATTGGGTGTTAATTGTATCTCTTATTCTACCCCATTCCCCCCGACATTGAACAGTTTCATTTTGCCCCCTAGTGGTTCTGACTACATAAATATTTGGTTGTGCTAAGTTTAAAACAGACCGGTTGCATATTTTGCCCTGAAGATCCTTTTTCCTCGAGGCCTTAGTGATCAAGTGGAGCCCAAGGCATTGAACTGAAATGGCAGTTTGAGGCTTGGGCAGCCTAGAATAGAGAAAGTAGGACCAGATTCTTGGAGATAGTAGAATCGTCGTTAGAAACGAGACTGTATGGTAGCATGGTAGAGAAATTCTTTTTGAAATAGTTTTATCAGCATTGGTGGTGAATTTCTGCCAGGTAACATTTCATCTTCCTTCTCTTTTCTGCGGAAGTAGCTTGATAATTGCTTTGTAATGCAGAAATACATAGACATTCATATTTCCATCATCACCTTTCTTTTACCAAAAGAGCCCAATTATGTAAATGACATAGATCCGAAACAGTGTTTAATGTATAGTAAGACATTACAGGGAGTCACATGGATTATATGTTCAATGCAGTGTTAATTTTTTAACCCCTTGAGGCCTCATAATTCTGATTTCAATACCTAAGACCCATCCATTGGGCCAGCCAGGCAGAGTATCAGGTACTCTTCCAAGTCTGTCACAAGAGTACTTTGGATGGTTTTGTGCTTTAACTAGCTCCCAGTGCTCTTATATGCCTGAAGGCAGCAGCACTGATGAGGACCTCAGGTGAGGGAATAGTGGCAGGCCGCAAGAGTAAAGAAGAAATGTAAAGTGGTATATTGGGAAACATATAATACTTGAAGAATTCACACAGAGAGAAAGAATTCAGGGAAAACCACTGTAACATAACTGCATGTTCCTCAAAATTATGTTCTAGATACTATTGCTCTGTGACAAACCACTCCAAATTTAGTGGCATAAAATAGCAAATCTTTATAGAGCCATAGATTCTGTGGGCGAAGAATGTGAACAGAGCATGACCAAAATGGTTAGTTTCTATTCCATCCGGCCTGAGACAGTGGCTGGGACAACTGAACTAGTGGAGGCTGGAATATCCACCTGAAAGATGGCTGCTTCGCACACACGTGTTGCTCGCTCTGTCAGGAGTGCCCGGAAGATGGGGCTTGGCTGGGGCTGCAGGCCAGAGGGCGTATGCATGGCTTCTCCAGGGTAGTTGACCTCTATACATGAATGTCCACTATTCAATATATATACAATAAAGTGTAAGCTAGATGACGTCATATAACTTAGCGTTGGAAATAGCATGGAATTAGTTCAACTATTGCTCAAAGCATCCACAAGGTTGCCCCCATTCTGGCTAAGGGAATATAGACTTCACCTTATGTTGCAAGGTCTATCAAACAATTCTAGGCCATACTTTTAGTCTATTACAAGATGCAGTACAGATCCTTGTGAAACCTGTTCTTGTTATGATTTCCTATTTATGTGTTTTAATGAGTAAATTATTTCTACACATTCTGCATGCCTACTCCATTATATCTTTTGACTTTTAATGTTCAAGGAAACAAAGTGTAGATACTTAGAAAAGATTAATGATGTTTTATTAATGAAATACTTACAGTTATGCAAACATTTATTTATTTATTTGGGTTTTTTTTTTTTTTTTTTGAGACAAGGTTTCTCTGTGTAACAGTTCTAGCTGTCTTGGAACTCGCTTTGTACCCCAGACTAATGTCCAACGTATAAGAGAGATGCCTGCCTCTGCCTCCCAAGTGCTAGAATTAAAGGCATGCCTCACAATGCCTGACTTGCAATTTTTTTAAAACAGTCTTACTATATATCTGTAGTTGGCCTTCAACTTGTAGTGATCACTTATAGTTAGTTACCCTGCCTCCAGAGTGCCAGGTTTATAGGCAGCACACGTGGCTATGCCAGCCAGTTTCATGACAATGAGGTGGAAATGAGTTCCGCTCTGTTTCTGAGCAACTAATGTCTGTATATCACAAGCAACCATCTCAGGGACGAAAATGGATTTCCTATGCTGTGCTTGATAAATATTTCAATGTAATTATGTCAACTACATAGAGAAAACATTTTCTGATTGCAATTAGCTTTTCCCTTCTAGGTACCACAGAGAGAAAACACGAAATTAAAAAGATACCCCCTGAAAGACCAGAGACACTTCCAAACAGAACAGAAGAGAAAGGTATGAGATCAATTCTTCATTGGCATGTGTAGAACAATAAGCAATGAAGCTGTCTGTCACAGCGCTAGTTCTGATAACCCGCCCACACAATTTGCTTTTTCTTAGGAATATGGTGATTACTGGTTTGTTTGGATTGCTTCCAAACGTATCATTTTGAGGGAAATATAACTGAGCAGTGTGGCACTTTATAGGACAGAATTGCTCTTCAAATCAAAACCAACCAGCTCAGGGCTCTTCCATGATGTGTCTACCATTGCCACCTTCCCTGTGCCCCAAACTTGGTTGTCTTTAAGTTCATCAAGGGCCCTGCATGTATCTGATGTTCTTCATCTAGTCCTTCCACCTTTTTCAATGTCTTTGGGGGCATTGATAAGTTGCACCATTGATATGTTGTCTTGGCTTGCTGAAATTCCCATCCAGACAGATAAAAGCCCTCATCTTTGGTTACTGCTGGGCCCTTGACTCTGGCTAATAGCATTACAGACACATGTTCCTGGTCAAGAATATTGGAGGGGAGCCAGGCGGTGGTGGCGCAGGCCTTTAATACCAGCACTCGGCAGGCAGAGGCAGGCGGATCTCTGTGAGTTCGAGGCCAGCCTGGTCTACAAGAGCTAGTTCCAGGACAGGAACCAAAAAGCTACGGAGAAACCCTGTCTCGAAAAAAATCAAAAAAAAAAAAAAAAAAGAATATTGGAGGGGAGTCGGGAAAAACAACTCAGTTTCAGAGTCTCCAGAGAAAGTTCAGAAATTCCATTGGCAGAGAAGTCTCTTAAAACCTTATACAGTCAGGTTTATAAATGTGTTTGATTCCCATCATCCGGGGTATCTTTTCCAAAGAAATCTGCATGCCATGGAAGGGTTCCTAGTCCTAGGTTCCCAACTTTTGATTGATCACACATTTTTATGGGAAAGTGCTATATTATTATGAACAGGAAGCCAAGCAAGTTCCATTTTAAAAAGCAGTTATTTTGAAGTCACAAGAGAAATGCTGTATTAATGAATATAATTATCTGGAGGTGCTCCTCGGTGGCCTCATGAAATTTTATTGTGGAATTTAATATTTCACATCAGCTTGCTGAAAGTTTTGCCAACATTGTAAGCTATTAAGGCTCTATGCCTCTTTCTTTCTTGCTAATCAGGTAAAATCTGAGTCATTAGAACCTCATTGTGAAGGCCAAGTCTGTGTTAGAAATCAATGGAAAAAATTGCTATTCAGTGTATGCCCTATCAACAGCTCTTGGCTAAAAGCATGTGTTGTGAACCAACTAAACACTACCCCCTGTCCTCATGGGAGACTCTACTCCCTGCAGCCTAGCTGGGCTCTGGGATGAGGATACTTCCTCCCTTGTCCCATGCTGACTAACTTATAGATGGATATGTGAGAAGCCATTCTCCTTGGCTGACCATGTAACCACACAGCCCTCACTCTTCCTCTCACAGAGTCTTTATCCTATGCCACAGAGTCAGAGAGGCAGAAGTCCTAGCCAGAAGCAATAGGACCTTAAGGGAACCAGTGTCTGAGTCTTAGCATCCCTGTGATGCCACCAAGATCCATACCATGTCATCCCGCAAGTCACGACATTCCTGTCCTGATTCTGTTCCTGTTGCAAGCCAGGGAGTTAGCCCTCCTTACCATTTAGCTTAGCCCCTCCTTTTCTGGCCCTAGTGTGCCAGAAAGTTCTTATCATTTCTGGTTGGGTGTGTTTTCCTTTAGAAAAACAGAGAAGGCAAGCCAGTGGTGCCTGCGTAGGACCTAAGGAGGTACCTAAAGTTATTGCCACTTATTCTGAGCTCCCAAACAACATGTTTCATGTCTGTGCTTGCCAGTGAGACACTGGTGTTCTTAGGGATTGCATACAAACAAATACAGGAATTTTACCTATCCTTCCATAGGCCTCACACACAGAAGTTCAGTCTTCATCAGTAAGGTTATAGGTTCTTGCTTTTTGCAGTATACACAAGGATACACAAGGCAAGGCTAGTTGGGGGATGGGAAAATTGAAGCTGTCGTTGTACACCACTCAGTTGCACTACTTACTGGATCTGGATTTGAACTCACTCTGATAGTTCCTTGACTCCAAAAGTGGAGTCTAAAATCTGAGAAGACCCCCTTCCAAGTTCAAAATCTGCACAAAGGTCCCTGAGCAAGCTAGTCTCTGAATAGTTTCCTCCCTTATTGGCTGATGATCTTAGCGTTTAATCAGGCTCATTTTTTCTGTGCACCCAGCAAAAGATCGTGTGGGCCATATGGTAAACCCATCCGCTAGCTGTTGAGCATCACTTGGATGCCAGCCCTGCACAGGCTCTTAGGGAAATGTTTGAGCCAGGCTTTAAAGGGTGAGCAGGAGCTGGTTTAGGGTCAGTGGCTGAAGGACTAGCACCAGCAAGAGTACAGGAAGAGGGGGACAGGGAATTCTGGCTTTTCCTACGTTGACTATGAGTAAATGGTACTCTTTGCTATCAGAAATGGTATCGCTGTGCTTTCTTGTTGAAGCAGGGAATAAGCAGTCTGCATCCCAATGTTGCCACTGACATGAAGTCTATTTGTTTTCTTCATGCTTGCTTCATCAAACAATGACTTAAAGAAAGACCAGAGAGAGAGCCAAAACTGGATTTACAGAAGCCTTCTGTTCCTGCCATCCCACCGAAAAAGCCTCGGCCACCTAAGACCAATTCTCTGAACAGACCTGGTGCATTGCCCCCAAGAAGACCCGAGCGACCAGTGGGCCCACTGACGCACACCAGGTACTGCCATACTGCCATGCTCTCACCAAGGCGGGTAGGCATGGGATGAACGCAGGGAGCAGGGAAGAAACGGGAATCAAGCTTTGTTTAAAGATTCCAGCCACTCCTTTCCGGCGAGGACGTGCTTGCAAGGTGTTGGGGAACACAGTGTGGGCTTTGGGCTCAGTAGGTGGGAGCTGGGGGCACGTCATGTAGATGCTGCTCATAACAGGGCATTTTCCTGGCATTTGTTAGGACAGGCCAACTGCCTTGCAGGCTGGAGATGCAGGTGGTACACTCTCCTTCATCCCTTAGGTAACTGGCCTTTGTACACCTCACTGAAGTTATGTCTCCTAATCCTCTACCTATTCTGTGGTCCCTCAGGCTGTGCCCTGGGCTCTCTCTACTCGTCATGACACAACTTGATGTGGAACACATGACAGATTTCCTGGTGTATGTGTCTCTGAGCTCTAAGACCCTCAGAGACATGGCTACGATCACTAGCAAGTTTGTCACATCGCTGGCTAGCAGAGACATGTATTAGTAATATGAAATCAGAGACGGTCCCGTGCATTCCAGAACCGCATAGACAAGAGACTCTTGAATTCTCTCCACTGGTTCTTACCTAGAACTTTCTACTATTGCATCCATGCATAGTACACGCTGGTGTAGTGCATCAGAGCGAGTTGGTGGCCTTCAGATCCTTATCCATCTCTGCCAACACACTGAAGTCTGTTCTTGTTAGCTGTTCGCATGGTAAGCACAGAGTGCTGCTTCTGAGTTGCTGTGTTGAAAGCAGGCAGGCAGTCCTTCGGGCTTGAATCTTAGCCCACCTCATAGGCTGCTTTGTGAGTTGCTGTCTTTCTAACCTACCTTTCACTATCTGTAAGTTGAGGGTGATACTGAAATTCGCCTAGATATAATATTCAGCTATATATCACATGCTGAGAAAGTAACAGTATTTTCCTTGTCAACTATTAAGCCGTGTAAACTGCAGTAAGACAATAGTGTTTACTTGCATTTTAAAAAATTGTGGTAGAGCCCACATAACATGCAGTTTAACATCTTAACCGTTTTAAGCGCATGGTTTGAATTAAGTATATTCGCATCATTGTGCAATCATTTCCAGAACGTCCCCCCTCTTGCATAACTGTACCTCTATACCCATTAAAGAGCGACTCTCCACTGCCATCTCCCTGTAGCCCCAAAAGTCATTATTCTACTCCCTGTCTCTATGATTTTGACCCCTAGGTACTTATATAAGCAGAATCCAAGCGCATGGCTGTTTTCACTTTGCATGATGTCCTTCCTCAGTGCTCATCTGTGTTGTCAAGTGACCCATTTACTTACAATATCAAGAGCACCAAATGCCCCCCCCCAGGAACACTGACCAAATACAGAGACACCTCATGGCCTAGATGTCTGAGAGCTATCAGAAAGCAGGCAGCGGTGTTGGGTGCTGACATGTCTGTGTATGGGAGGCTGTCTGCCCAGCCGAGCACGGGCTGTGGGTATTTCCACAGCATATGAGTTAACATTCTGTAGGTGTTGTGCCAGGGTTCAATCGAACCACTGCCTCTGTGAAATGGCCCTTGTGAGAATGAATTGGATCATAACCTCCAACGTGCTGGTCAGGTCCCTATGTGTCATAACCCTCTCTTCTGATAGGTAGTAAAGAGCTCTTTGCATGCGATGAGGCCACTTGGAAGCCCCAGTAACTCGAGCAACAACCACATCAGAGGTGTGCTCATCCCAGAAGCTAACACACCAGGAGGAAAAGGTTATATAAACAGAGGTGCTTCTGGAGAGAATCTGACCTATACAAACAAAGAGAAGATGTAGAGCAGGAAACATCATCCATCACTTTATAGCTGGCAAAAGGGCAGCCAAGGCTTCATGCTGCCAAATCCCGATGGTCTTCAGGGATTACACACATCTCAATAAACTTAATAGCATGTTCTATTGCTAACATAAACATGTTCCCGCTGCTTTTTATAATGATCTAATCAAAAGAGAAGTGGTGTTCTCACTACTCCCTCCTTATCTTTGCTAGCTACCCTTGACCCTGTGACTGTGGGACAGGTGCAGCTTTGTCATCCCAGCTGAGCTTACAGGCCCAAGAGGTCACCTTCACTTCCTGCCTCTGCCTAGCTCTTCTCAGTCTCCAGTTCTCAAATCCACTTGTGAGTTAGAAGGGCAGGATACCAAGGAGGATGCACATGAGGACTATCTGTGTATATTCAGTAGTGGGAAACAAATTCTTACCATTGCTGTGCCATCAGAATAACCTGTGAAAAGACAGAGATTCTCTCAGCCCTATTCACCCTGTGGCTGCTCGGCCCCCAAGGCTTTGCACTACTGTGCAAGGGGATGGGGAGATGGAGGAAAAGCCCCAGGTTCTGGCATAGCCCATTGGAAGGAGGCTATTGGCTTCCCTGACTCAGTGGCTCTCGGACTTGAGCAAACTCCAGAATCATATAAACAATGCGGATTGGGGGGCCCCATCCCATGGTTGTGACTCGGTAGACCTGTAATAGACTTGGGAATCTGCATTTTGTTTGGGGGGGGTTGTTTTAATTTTTTTTTGAGACAGAGTGTCTTGTAGCTCAGACTGCCCTTAAACATGCTGTGGATTCAAAGATGATGCTGAACTTCTAACCCTCTTAACCTGCATCTTCCTAGTGCTGAGATCACAGACATGTGCCACCATACTTGGCTTATGTGGTGCTGGGAATTGAACCCAGAGCTTTGCGAATGCTAGGCAATTATATTACCAACTAAACCATATCCCTAATCCTGGACTTTGCATTTCTCATAGTTCCCAGGTACTGCTGCTGCTGCTGATGGTGAAGTCTACACTCCAGAACCACTGGTTTAGGTTCTCCCAAGTTGATGTTGGTCCTTTCCCATCGTCCTCTGACCACCTCCCATGCACCTGCTGATACAGCCTGATCCCTGTGCTGCCAATCAGCATGTCCTCCTCTGGAATCATTCCAGTATCTCTCACTATTTCTCTCTTCTCCAAATGCCTGATACCTCATGTTCGGCATGGTGCTGGGGCTGATACTGTGCCACTTGGGATGCACCCACCCCCGGACTCCTTTACAGGATTTAGAGCAGATCAAGAGTGTGTGTTTTGTCATTGCCACATGCCTTACGGTGTTGAGCATATGGTAGTGGCTCATTTAACGAACACTTGTTGAATGCCATAGTTCCTTAAGTGGGGGTGCGAGTGCTTAGATTTTATTCCATTTGCCTCTTCTGTGTTCCTTCCCAGCCTCTATACAAGCTCTTCAGCATGTGTTCCTTACATTCAGAGTAGCTTAGTATGTCATGGATTTTAAGAGAAAAAAAAAAAAAAAACTAGAGATCAAAGAAAATCTCACTGCCCCTCGGTACCTAATGTACATAATACTGCTTGCTGAGCAGTTCCATTAGGAAAGTGTGTCATATATTAGTCTGAGAAGTTATTTCATCTGCCAGAGCATTTGTGGTAGGAGTGTGCCAACTGCATGCAAGCAGTCTGTGCCAGTGTCCCTCTGCAGAAAGGGCACTGTGTGCTGCGTGAAACAAACCCCTGCCAAGATTTACCTGACCAGATGGCCGGCAGGCTAACAGACAGATGATTAAGCCAAAGGACACACAGTTCTCACTGGCAGGTCTTGCTAGAGAAGGAGGTATTCCAGCTTCAGCTGCTGTGTCCAGGCTGGAACTCGCCAGCAGCCAACAAGCTGCTGCCATGTGGCCCTTGCAGGAGAGCTTTCCTTCTCTTTGAACAGGAAGAAGTATCTCCAAGGAAAGGGATCTCTGTGGAAGAAGAGCATAGTCTGTGTTTACATGCGCACGCTCAACAAAAAGCACACCAAGGGCCCACTGTGTGCCAGGCACTGTTCTGGATCTTAGGGAGGGTGGGGCTCATGTGTTCCTGTTCAGTTCTCAGGCGTTCTATTCAGGGACATCAAAAGGACACCAGAAGGGCACCAGCAAAGAAGTTCGTGTCCAGTCTAAGCAAGTTGAAGCACCCTGTAAGGACGTGACACTGCCTAGTGTCTTCCTCAGATATTTGCATTCCTCGGCATTGGTAAGAAGAGTCCTCTGATTTCTAGAAAGCGCATATGTAATTTTAATATGAAAAATGACTTCCAAAACTGCTACCAGGATTAACTTTAAAATGGTGAGTGCCACGTGCAGTAGTGGCTCATGTGTAGCTCGAGCACTTGGGAAGCGGAAGCGGGAGCATCACAAGTTTCAGGCCAGTCGGGACTATGTAGTGAGACCCTAAATTAAAGAACGGGGATGCCAAAGAAAGAAAACAAATCGAGTGATGTTGGGAAAGTTCTATAGGCCACAAGTGTCTTCTCAATTTCTGGGCCTCGGTTATTATTTCATGGTGCGTTGAACTGACCCTGCTCACCTGTGCAACCCACCCAATAACAGAGGAGCTGCTGGCGACCCAATGACCATTCTGTCTACTCTCTTTTGATGCCTGGACATAAATAGATCTCAGTTAGCATGCACGGGTGTGCATGTGTATGTGTTGTGGGGTTATAAGTTTAATAGTTTCTATTACCGACTTAATAAAAATAGATTCAGAAGCATCTGTGAGAAGAGAGCCTAACGCTTTGCAGAAGGGCCCAAAAGTAAAAAGAAGAAAGTAAGGACATGATGAAAAAAGAAAATTGACATGGGCTCTACAAATTGCCTTTTGTAAAAGACAGAAAACCAGAACCTGAGGAGCAGAGCAGGTACTTGCCGTCAAAGGAAGGGAGGTAGAAGCAAGCCGGCTAGAGGTTAGACAGAAACAGGTTTGTCAATCCTCAGCAACCCAGACACCCTAAGTCATAATCAGTTTTCTTTTTCTTCTAAAGAATGAGGAAGCTAGAGAAGGACTTTTGCTCTCAGGAGAGAGATAATGGGAGGGAGGAGGGAGGAGGGAGGGAAGGGAGGGGGAAAGACACTGATTTACCTGCAACCTACTGTGAGTGCCTGTGCTCCCCATGAAAGGAGCAGGTATATCCTAA